TAAAAAATAATGAATGTTGTTCTAAATTTGTATATCGTTTCATTTTAACTTCAAATTTGGGAGCATGACATGCTCCGGCCCATACTGCCATCAATCCTTGTTGGAAGAAAAGAGATTTTCTTTTTCATCGAAATGGATCTACACCACTCGCTATTTTGAATCTAGATTTATATGTGTATTATTTTACTATATAGACCATCACCGAATGCAGTATTTAAATGGGCATAAGAAAACTTGGTTGGTTAATTACATGTTACTTTGTCACATGGGTCCATCCCTGTCAAAGTCACAACAACTATGTTGGTGGAGTGATTTGAATTGAAAGTGTGAAAGAAGGAAATTAAGGTATGATATGGTGATTACGTTGACCGATATTGCAACAGGAAGATAATTGAAGTGAGGAGCATGCAAAGGCAAGGAAAAGCACACTGAAATGGTTGCAATGCATGAGTGCATGGGGAAATTTATGATAGAAATTGTGTCCGTGTATTTGGCAAGTTGTATGATAGAAGGAGGGGTCGGTGGTACATTTTTGCATGTGGCCTTTTATGATGGCCCTTCTGATCAGAGACACGTAGCCTTGCCCACATTGTAGCTAGCTAGCTACCTAGGGACAAATTTCTGCAGTGGTCGTTGGGGCCATTCTTTTTCCCTTTTCAAAACTTCATTAATTTAATAACTTTCCACCTAGCAAACTGCCAAACAATAAATAGTAATATACATTGTACAATCATCCACACAACACTAAAAAAGGAATAATATATGAACCCCTATTAAACTCATCATCTTCGAATTTAAGTGCAGCAGTATCAATCTCCTCTAGTAAATTTGTACCTTGCCAGCTATTAAGAGGAGTTTTGCATCCTTTCATCTTTTCTTCGCATGCCACGGAAACAAAAGGTAAAAAATGGGAGCAAGAAAAATATTCCTTCTTTCGCAGCAAATCAGTCAAAGGAAAATCAATTATTTAAAACGATTGCATTTTCTTACACTCCCCGTTTTTATTGAAGAAAATAAGATCACATTTTAATTTTGTGAATAATTGAATGGCTTTCATTTATTTATGTACTTTTTTAATTAAAAAAATAAGTCTTTAACATCATTTTTTGACACTTATGTAAGAATAAAATAATCATAAAAAAACAAATTTTTATATTTGTAAAAAATAAGAAGAAAAACTGTATTATCAAATTAAATTTGGGTGTCAAAATATCTTTATCTTTTTTATATGAACCCGAACAAAGTTTAAAAAAAAAAGCCTTTCTTTTCGGATATCAAACAAGAAGAAGAATGATTCTCCACTCCTCTCCCTTTGTTTTGTTTACTTTACTATCATGACATTTATTTCCATTGCCTTCAAATAAACCAAACAAATATCTTCGGTGAGAAACATTATTACTCAATAATGATCTTGAACAAATAGTCTCCAAGGAGTCTTAAAAAACTGAAAAACTCGACTAATATATGCCATGAAATTTTACCGAAACTACCATAACTTAAGACCATCTAATAATTTCTCCTTGAATGAGAGTAGAAGTTAGGCAGGACTTCTGTTCCTCTCGACCTCGGTTACTGTTTTGGTCATTACCATAATCCATGATAAATGATTAATTTGTTGAAAAAAAAAAGTGAAGATATCTTTTAAACTTGGTCACTTACATTATTGCAGAGGAAAAAGATTCCGTGTGAATAATTTGGAGGAACTTTAGGGAACCAGAAATTAGGAAGGTGGATGAGATTGCAAAAGGTAAAAAGGAAAAAGAAACGTGATGGGTGAAGATCAGATATGATGGCAAATGGGGTAAGGGGAGACAGGTTTCAAATGATGCCTACTGTCTTCACCTCTCGAAACTCTTGCACCGTTTTTTGATTTCCACATCGTGGTCAGCAACCTTTCTCCCCTGAATCCTTATGCTCAGTTCTTTAGTCTGTGGCAGTGAAATAAAATTGGGTACGTGGCAAATATAGAAAGACATGAAAAGCTCAGCAGTCTCTGCATCCAGTATCCAATTTTGATCAGTGGTCCTCTCTTCTGATTTTTTAAGCAAGGTCATGAAAATGAGTCCAAAAATGGTTTTAATGTTTCCACAACCTCCCAAAAGAAAATCGTACCACACTCACATGACTTTCTTGGACTTCCGACAACCAATTCACAAGCTCGTTTATTAGACTGACCTTATGCATTCTTCATCATTGTCCGTCATCATCCATCTCCATCATCAACCATGCATGCAGGCATGTTGCAGGTTTCACACCTTGTAACGAGTTTGAACGCTTTGTGTGACTGGTCCAATACAACATTTCAAAAGCTTAATCGTGCGTGGTTGAAAACATAGACACAAACTGGTGTTGTACGAATTGATGAATATGACTTCCACCATACTATGACCAAACCTAAGGCCGTGCCACTCCCATGTTTGGTCATTTATGGTGGCTTTTCACTCTGTTCAACATTATCGGTTTTCTAAGAACTAGGGTTTCAGGTTTGCTTCTTTCATGCAATATCAATTATATATGACAATCCACACTGACACAGATGTACTCACCGGCATTGCTCTCTGCTAAATCATAAAAATCAATTCAAAATGTTTGACCAGCGAGGATCACTCATGAGTTCAAAAGCACAAAAAAACGAACAACAATTAATATAAATAAATGAAGAAAACCAGGTACTGTCAGAATTTCAGAGATGTGTAGCCATAAAATGGGTGGTAGATCAGTAAATCTAAATTCTTCAACCTATTCAATTCAAATTTTCCTATTCTGCATTATCATACCAAAACACATGAAAGTGCACGTACTAATATATAGTTAAGTTACAACCGTTACAATAACGTACACGGCCGTTTTACGTAAAAGACGCCAAATTTTGCTTCTTAATTTCATGTTCTGGAAAGTGCGAACCTGTTTGTATCATTGCAAAGGAATTTTCAAATAAACCCGATATGTTCATTACACCCACATCAATTTTGAGCTTTGAATATGCGCGATTCAATTAAACATGTATCTAAATCAAACATTTCCATGGAAGATACCTGCTGTGTTGCACCAAAATATACCCACAAAGAAAGAAGATAAATTGATAATGGACTCTCAAATAAATTACTGTATTTATATATATATATTTATTTACTGCAATATAGCATCAATAACATTCCAATCGCGGTGGGCATACAAGAAAACGTTAAAAATGTTTAAGTTCTGCGGAGAGTCAGTCTCTCATTACTAAGAAATCAATCATGCAAGGAGAATATCAAAGCATGTCCCACAAAATACAAAGTTACAGTCACTCCAAATCTTGAGCAGTAAGCATTCACTTGGCAAAATACCAGACGCCCAGTGCTTCGCGTACGTCGTAAGTCCCTCAAGCTGTAGTGGATTCCACCAATGAACTGTTCCAGCAGTATCCAAGATACCGAATTTCTTAATCCATGGTAATAAATCCAGAACTTTCAATGTGAATGAAACAATTCGTCAGCAAAATGCACGAAGAAAAGGCATGAGTAGAGAGAAATTGTCAATGTTCAGCGGACTAATATGAAAGATGATGAAAGCTTCCATCAAATTCATGTGCTAATTCTCTTGGTGTTAATAGCAACCAGACCCACATGTCAAGTCAATAAAACCAAAAACGACTTGATTCACTCGTCTTTTGGTGTGTTCCACGTAACAATATCCTAACTACGGTAATAGATGCTGCCAGCACAACATATCAACCACAGTCTGCGCTAATTTGGTAAGCTTACGAACTTTTCCAAAATTGAAAGGAAAGCAAAGACCAATCAATCAGTCAAATCAAAAACATCTTATCAGATGGCACGCGGTAAGAAGGCACATGCAAAAGAAGTAACTGGCCTAACAACTATTTATCCTTCAATTCATAATCGTCAAAAATTCCATACACATCAGACAAGCACACGGTCCCTCAAACCAAATCCTAAAAGACCTTTCTTTTCTCAAACTTTTAATAGATCACAGATTCCATTGAGCCTACACCTACATATGATTGTTATAATATAATGTTTCTTGATAATTACTACTACAGATTTCAAACACTAATGTTCAATCCACCTGAACGGGCAAAGTGGGAATCGGAGATAGACTAGACATAAGCCAACTTCTTATTCTGGCAGCAATTGTCAGAAAAGATAACCCATTTCAAGTCTTCAAACGATACAGAACAATCTGTCTTTGCATCAGTACCTCTGCAAAAATTAGAAACATCTGACAGCAGTAGCAAATTCGATGTATGATATAGTTCTGGATAAAACATACGACAAAAGGCTGCAAATAAATTATGTACAGGTCTGCTGTACCATGTATTATCACATGCTTACATTTATTGTTTATACGCCTGTGTAGAGACTTAAATGCCAAGGAATAAATTACGGACAGGAATGCAACTCCCAAGTAATTTTAACAAATTTGAAGTAGAGTTGAGATAAACTAAAGTAATTAAGGTCTCCAAAATTATCTGGTAAGGAGCAAGATGCCAATGTACTCAAACCAATCACGACTTCATTATCTGTTAGAAACCAATTAAGAACGCTTACCCTCGGGTAGCATAAGTTCGAATTTCTCCATCAGAACCTAAGATGAAGGAAAAAGCAGACAGCAATTAGATTCTGTATCCATTTAGCGGATACTCAGTATGTTAAATTAACTCAAAAGCTTCCACATAGAGGTTAGAATTAATCGTCGCCATTTTAGATGCTTTACATTTTTAAACCAACTTGAGACAGAGACGGAAGAGATAGAGCACAAATGGTCGCAATTACTGACAACCTCTGACAGTGAAAAGGAGAAGGGTGAAGAGGCAAACTTTTTGTCAATGTGAACGTATTTCAGAGGAAACTATTCTCACAAGCTGATACAGAAAAATAAAACTAACCCTTTCTTTGGAGGAGAAGAAAGAAACAAGAGACAAACAAAAGACATGAATGAGTTTAGAAGAAGAAAAACAGCAAGAAATAGGATCTACTGGATATTTTCACTCTATTACTGTTTTCATTCACATATTTATATCTTCCCATTGCTTTTATATTTCCTTTAAATCAAACATTTTCATTTGTACTCTATTTCTCGCTTATTTCCAAACACTTCACTATTTCTATCTACTCTATTTTCACCCACTTCTTTCCTTCCTACCAGATAGATCCTAAAGTAAATGGTGCATTTGGAGAATTCAGTCAATGAACCTATCCAAGAAACTGATTCTTTAGTTAAAAAAATAAATAAATAAATCCAACCAGTAAAATTAACCCTGAATCATGTTGGCTAGACTAAAATGCTGTTATCATTTAACTTTCACTCTTTTGAGGAATTCGTATGCTTCTTTATTTTATACCATTAACATGCATTATAATGTTTTACACAAATTCTTGCTCCCGGCTAATGTTTTCCCCTCCGTACTTCATCCTAAGATGATAAGTTTACTCTCAACCTCACGGCCTCAAAATCAGAGCAAGAACCTCACTATACTACTAGACAGAGACAATTATAATGTAGTTCTTTTTCCCCATGCATGTTTTTCTCGCCTTTTTCTTTGGCTTAGTCATTCCCATTAATGAGGAGTTTAAAAAGGTCCTAGACCCAAGACATGTGAAACTCACACTCCATTGATCCATTGATCCATGGAGTCAATTCAAGTAGAACCTTTTCAACTCAAGGAGAGAAAGAACTCTCAACAAGTTTTCTTGGTTATCAAGACTTCAATCCAAGTTCTTGCTTAAAGTGAAACAAATTATTTGCCATTTGAGGCAGCAGACAATAGTAAGAGCCTGATGAGGTGGAAATTCAACTCTAAATAATAGGAATTGAAACTCTCAAGATCATAAATAGAGAAAATGTAATGATAACAGATGACATGTGAAATTGAATCAATATATAGCTAGGACAAACGAAAGTCTTTTAGTTGAAAAAGGGAACAAAAGTTTGTGAAAGGGTTAATCGGTAATGACATCTAATGGCAAACTATATACATATAAACAAATTAAATATATATCCTTTCACAAAAGTATTAATTTATTACATATAGAGAGGATAAAAAAAACTGTATATAAACACTGGTAATTTCTTTATTCTATAATTTTTTAACACCATACAAACATTATTTTTCCTTAATCAAATTACAAGAGAGAATTTCTTGACTCCAACCATACTTAATTCGCATTTGAATCAGAATCTTATATGCACGTTTGCCTGCAAATTCACAACAAAAAGCAACAAGTCTGAGTTTCTTTAGTTTGATCCAGATTGAGAAGGTCATGACCCCAAATTCAACACACTATGTATGGCTTGTTGAAGAACCTCCTTAGCCAAAATATTTCTTGTTATCTAATTGGTCATTTAAAATGGGGAGGGGAGCATTGCAATTTAATTCGCATTGACAAGGGTCAATGGTGGCACTTGAACTAAGTTCTCAAATAAATATTAAAAAATAATGAACATTCTCGGCAAATCTTGATGAATTTAATTTTGAGGAACGTTGACTACATGAAGATTATGTTAAGTAACATGAAAATCCTTTAAAGGATCTTCAAATAATTAACCAGCTGTTCTCACATTCTCCCGGAACAAGCTTTAGGTTCAAACAAGGACAGCTTTAGACCAAATTAATGTCAATCACCCTAATGTCTAAGCATACGGTGCACTCAACCTAAGTAGCTAATGTTTAACTTCCTTTCAATATATACACACGACTCAATCGTTTCAATTTCATCTCCTACTCATGGCGTGTGCGTACCCTGCATCGCCTCATTTAGTCTTCCTATATACATGTCAAGTTTTCAAACATAAATTTGAATGAATTTCATTTTACAAACTTAGTTTAAAAGCAACTCTTAGTGTTAAGTTCACATGAAATCAAACATAGGTGTGCATCGAAGGAGAAAGCAAACATATTACCAAACTAAGTTTGGCAACAAAAACTTCCATTCAAAGCAGCTGAACGGGAAACCAAACATAGCAGATATAGCGTCCTTCAATCACTCTCATACTAGAATTTTGAATCTTCTGGAGAAGCCACGTATAAAACTTTTCTCCATAATTCGGTTACAGTCATCGAACATAATCACTGAAAGTAAACATTATAAATAGAATATCATAAAAAATGATAATAATCGGCAAGTACATCTAACCGGTGAGTAGTGATATGAAACTCCACATTCACCAGGGAGTAAGGTTATCACTTTCGAAAATCCCAGCTCCAGGTTCTTAATCTTACCTCAAAGCAACCCTCGGAATTCGAGAAGGCGGAAGGTGAAGAACGCTTCGAGGACTCCGAAGCACGCGCCAAAGAAGACATCGATAACGTAATGCCTCCCGAGAGCGACGCGAGAAATTACAGTGGTCACGGCCCAAGCCCAAACGGCCGAGATGAGAATATCAACGGCGAGGGCCTGATCTCCGCCGAACCAGCGATTCACGAGCAAGGCCACACGCGGATGGTGGAGATCGGCGAGGAGCGAGGGGCGGGAGAGGGAGAAGACGGAAGCGACGAAGCAGACCCTGGAAGAGTGACCGCTAGGGAAGGAGAAGTTATCGACGGGGACGACGGCGTTGTATTGGGAGTGGTTGGAGTAGGAGGGGCGGGATCGGCGGACGAGGAATTTGATGAGGGCGATGAAAAGGAGATCAATAAGGGAGCAGACGAGGAGGGGAAGGAGGAGGTTAGGTCGGAGAGGGGAGGAGGAGGGGGCGGCGAGGAAGAGGGCGAGGGAGACTGGGAAGAAGAATCGGAAGTCCGCCAAAAGCTCTAGGTATCGGAGAAGGGGTTTTGGGGCGATGGGGCGTGTGAGAGTGTAGATGAAGAAGGAGACGGCGTTGTCCAGGTCGTGTATGCGGCGGAATAATGGTGGGGCGGCCGGTGGGGATTCCGGGGGTTCATGGCCTTGGCCCATCGGAGTTACTGATGGCGTTATCGAAACGTTGGGTCTCACGGAAATTCAAACGATCGAAAACCGTTAGTTGGGATATCATACGACTTCGTTTAAGGTTTCTATGTTTTCCCTTTGTAAGAGTGTTTTAGTTTGGTTATTTTCTAACCCCAATTTAATTACTCTTCAAGTTTAATTACTCTTGATGTTTTGACTGAATAATGATTACAATATAGAAACAAAAATTATAAAATAGAAAAAAAATGAAAAGGTGTAGAAATAAAACATATCTGAATGAATGAAAACGAGGTTATTTAGATTATGGAAAAGAAAGTATAACATTAACACTGCGTTCGGATGAGGCGATTTACTGTAGAGGAGATTTTGCGAGGATGGATTTGCGTGGTAAACCGTGTTCGATTGGTGTGATTTGGTACGACGGAAATGCATGTAAATGTAGCGATTTGCGAT